ACATGACTGGGAGACATTGAGCTAAAAGAACATTTTGATACTGATGCACCATGATGAGAATTTCAAGCCTGTTGTTACAGGGATTTCCCACTTTTACTCAGTCCCTCAATAAACATTTATTGAGTGCCAGGTACATAAAGATCCAAAGGGTTTTAATGAGGGCTGGGGATGGATGTTGGCAAAGAAAAGCCTATAGTTCTCTCACCTAGTGGAGGAGACCCATGCAAAGGAATGGTGCCCACAGAGAATGTAGGCACAGTAGGTGCTTGTAGGAGGGGCTTCGCGCCGAGTCAGGAGCTGAAAGCGCCAGCGGGCCCACAGAGGAGAAAGAAGCCCAGTGCATCCACGTGTGACAACATCTAACCTCTCCTTCCTCCTGAAGCCTGATGGAAACCCACAACATGATGTAATGAAACCCAATGAGGATTCAGAATAAGCTCCTTATGCTCTATGGAGGTCAACAGAATTAATGTTTATGTCATTGTAGTTTCTGCTTTGTGTTTCACACGGGCCCTTAGAGGAAATACAAAAACCAGAGGGGTTTTCTTTTAGGAAATTATTTTTGTCTCTTTTATGTTCTATAAGAGACAGAAAATCAAAGTGCCTAAGATAAAATTCAAGGGTAAGATGACGATTATAAGATACACTGGAAATGGCAAGTTCCTATTATTTTTAATAGAGTGGTCCCACACTTTTTTTTGGTTCATTTTTAAACCCATGGGGATTATAAGGGAAATCAAATCCTATGAATTAGTCTGACTGATTTACACCCATTACTTATTAATTTAAACAAATAAATGAATGTCCAGAAAACCTTTTTTTCTTAGGCAGGGACATTTAACAAAAGCCAGAATCTGACTTACATAGACTTCAGTTTAACCGAATGTGCTGAATCCATGGGGCCTAAAGAATCCTAACGGGGTGATGGTGGGGAGATAAGTTGATGATGGCCATCCTGTAACATGACTGGGTTTCATCCTGGAATAATACAAGTGTGCCAGAGCTAATCAGCTCCCCCTCCACTCAAGAATACAAGAAGATCATCTGTGCCAGTCTTGTTTCCCCACATCTAATATTTTATTTTTGGCTTTCTGACCTACTAGTGATGGAAACTCTGCAGTTACCAATTTTCAGAAAGAAACAGTTAAAACGTTTCACTTATTGAGAAGACAGAGCTAAGAATGATGACAGACATTCCCGGGGCACTGCGTTTAGTGGACAGTGGCCTGTGTCTGGTGTGTGTGTGTGTGTGTGTGTGTGTGTGTGTGTGTACACAAGCACGCACGCTTACATGTGACAAATAAGTGAATGGGAAAACTAGGAATCTCAGTAAGTTAAAAAAGCTAAAGGACCAAGAAGTCCCATTTTCACTCAGCCAGATCACAAAGGAAATTGGCTAGATGCCCTGTTTTTAAGGAGCAATTTGGCTGCAAACATATTTGGAAAAACAAATAAGAAAAACCAGAAAACACACGCACAAATTTTTGAATTCCTCCAAAGAGAAAAACACAACGCCATGAGGTGATAGGGAAAAACACTCCTCAGAGCCATCAAATTCCTAAGCACTTTCAGCAAGATTTTTAATACAGACAAATCTCATGTCCGAGAGGAGCACAATTATCGCCCTGTTGAACGTTCATTTCGACTTGTAGAGCTAAGTGGTAATGACCAAGGCAGTCCTTCCAGGCCTTCATCAGGCTCCAACTAAAGAGCAGAATTTTGTTTCTTTAAAGAAAAACTACTCTGGGCAGCAGGGAAATTTAGAAATCATGCCAGGAAGGATGTTCCCCTTCCGTTAGCTGAGAGTTTACAGAAGTCTTCCCGACCGCTCATGCTGCAAGAGTGCCTTGGGCGTTCTTGGACCTGGACTCCAAGCTTCAACCTGGACACCGAGCAAAAAGGTCAAACATGTTATTATTCCCTTTCCTTCTAACTTTTCCACTGGCCAAGGTGGTTGTCAGGGGCTTCCCACTGTAGCCTTAGCTCCTGGTAGGCGTGATCCAGAGAAGTCACTGCTATTTGCTATGCAGTCAGACCTGCCTTTCTCTTAGCCAAGCATTAGAATCTCAAAAGACTCATTTGAAAAGGATGGCTCCTCTCGAGTGTCCAATGTTTATAATTATGATTACCAGGCACTGAAAAGTACTCTTACAATAGAACTTCTAAAAAGCTATACAGATAACTGAACACATTAATTGCGAAGAGAGATAGTAATTGGTGCCTGCCATTCTGTGCCCACGTGCTAAAAGGAAAGCCTGACAGAGAGCACCACCCATCACCAGCCTCCAGGGTACGCCTGCACCTTTGTTATCACACCTGCTCACTTAGCTATGGGCATGAGATGACTCAACATGCTCAAACCTTCACTGGGGGGTTCCATGGTGGCGCAGTGGTTGAGAGTCCGCCTGCCGATGCAGGGGACACGGGTTCGTGCCCCGGTCCGGGAGGATCTCACATGCCCCGGAGCGGCTGGGCCCGTGAGCCATGGCCGCTGAGCCTGCGCGTCCGGAGCCTGTGCTCCGCAACGGGAGAGGCCACAGCAGTGAGAGGCCCACGCACCGCGAAAAAAAACAAAACAAAAAAACCTTCACTGGTTACTTAATCCCAACTCCTCCTCCTCCTGCTGCTTTTTATTGGTAAAGGATGACCACGCATCTAGTGGCTCTAGTCACACACACTCTTTTCTCTCTCTCTCACTGTCCTTATTCAATTGGTCACCAAGTCCTACTAATTTGTCACCTGTTTATCTGTCTCTTACCCTCCACTACTACTTTGGTCTTGGTTCAGGACCTCTACCTCTCTTGCCCAGATACTAAAATATCTGTTAACTAGTCTCCTTGCCTACAGGTTAGTTCTTCATGAATTTCTCTCCTTCTGTGCCTCCCTAATTAGCTTCTAAATATAAGGCTTGCAAACAATGAAATCATAAACATACTTGAAGAAAACCCAGGTGAATATGTTTATAATTTTGGATTGGAAAAAGCATTTCTAAGTATGACATAAAGCCTAGAAGGCATAAATACAGTCACTTGAAAAATCTTCTGTAAGATAAAGAACACTCTATTCAAAGATAAAAAAACAACTGGGGAAAATATCTGCACTATATTTGGCAGGGGACATGCTAATTTCCTTCATATACAAAGAGTTCTTCCAACTCACTAAGAAAAAAACCTATTGTAAATTTGAAATAACATCTCAAGTCCATCTCTTGGCTACACCAGGAGACAAGAAGCTAATGCAAATAATTATAAAGCTGTGAGGAAGGCACAACGTGTCCTGAAAAGACCAGGTACTGAAAAATTGGTTAGATATCACTGCTAGCAAACCTGCTTCAAATGTCCTGCCAAGATGCAATTACATTACATGTCAACACCAAGGCACATTTCAGCAGTTGAAAAATGCCCCTGGACTCTCTTGTTTACGCCTCTGGAACACAGCAGCGTATGTTTGCACAGAACAAATCATTCCCTGTAAAGCTGGAAGGGCCTCTTTGCCTACGTTATTGATGTTTTAGCTTTGAGCCAGAAGGTTCAAATCTTTGAGAACATTTCCGAACTCACACGACACCAAAACCTATTAGTCCGTTAGCACAGCCTAGGCTGGGAGGTTACAGCAAATGCCCATCAGATGAAACTCACTGACGTTTCCAGTTTGACCCAAACTAAGTGACAAAATAATATCCCCTGACAAGAAGGCAGAGTATCAGCAAAGTGACATCACTGACATAACTGCCACAAAGATACTTAGTTTACCTAAGCACACAATCACCCAAAATTAAGGTGTCAATATCAAGTGCAAATAGTACAGATGACTCATTTTTCAAATGAAAGCTCAGATGAAATGGTAAATCTACTGCACCCATGAGAAGAAATAACCTTTGTTAGGAAAGTGAATAATTCAAGACGCTGACATACATAGCTTTGTATGTGAGTCTGGAGCACGGGCCAATTTACCTAACTGCAAGACTGCAAAGGAATCTGATGCAAAAGCCCAAGATTGCATTAGTGTCCATTTGCCAAAACAGAATTTAAAAAATGAAGCTGAGACTCAAACTGGAATGCAATCATGAGTAAATCTGGGGAAAACAAAGGAGCTTAACCCCAACGAATACTACTGGAAATTAGAAAGTTTAACCAATTGTTTCCCAGCCTTGAAAATGCAGAGCTGTGTTGAGGGACCCAAGCATCAGAATACCACCCTTATACAATGGATGGCCAGAGTCTGAACACAGGACTTTCTGTTGTTCAAACTGTCTTCAGTTTGTGAGCACTTAACTCACAATGTTGTTGAGAATTATGACAGAGAAATGAATTCAGTTTTCTAAACAGTTTCCCAAAAAAGCCAGTTGGATTTTTACATTTCTGACTTGGACAATGAATGAATGTGCAGAAATTCGAACCTTAATCGATGGTTTCTCAAAACCCACTTGCTTCTATCATTTGTCTCTGGTGAAATTAACAGAATATTCTCCCAATAAATCTTGAGGCACAGGAAGCCATTTTATTCCTGGCTGAAATGGGCCCAATGGTTCGCAAGCGAGCGTCACCTACTGAGACACGTGCTGGGAACATTTAGGTGGCTTCATGATGCCAGGGGCAGCCAGTCCAGAACTGCTCAACTTAGGCACACACAGAATGTGACAAAAGAGCAAATCCCACCACAGGCTTCCTTCCCTTTCCATGGGGAAAGAGAACTAACTGTGCCTTAGACCAAGTGGCGAGTGCTAGGAAATACTCTCTAATACCCATGGAGGGTATTATGGAGAAACAGAAACTGTAGGTAAGGAGGTCGGAATAAACATTACTGAAATAATACACATCAACCTTGGCTTTGTCTCTGGCAGACCTAGGAGGGTCTCATCTTTGGCCTAACAGCTTATATGTTAAATTAACAAACAAAAAGCAAGCAGCACAAAACTTACTTAAAACTAACAGCGTTCTTTCCTCAGGCCCCCAGTTTTTAAAACTACCCAGTTGGGATAGGTAAGCATGGAGACTCACTCTGGGAAGCGTAAAGCCCCTCGGCCACTCTGTCTTCGTGTCCATCATACTCCCTGCTGGACAGCTGCCTGTTGGCAGTCTCCAGTCGATCTGTGCACAGAGAGGAAACGATTACAAAGAAATGCACTTGCATTTAAGTCATCCTCCAACAGGCAAATGACCTGGGTGCTGAGAGCTGGGTAGGGAGAGATGCCTGGGGAGGAGCCCCAAATTGAACAACTCTTGGTGGGGGGGGGGAACAAGACGCTCCAGAGCATCAAAAAGAAAAGTCCTCAGATGCCACACTGTGCCTTTATGCAATTTAATGCCAAGGTGTGCACCGGTGGCAGGCAGTGAAGAAAAGGTTCCTGCAAGGCCAGCAGAGTCCTCGAAAAGGGGTTGAGTTCCCTTGGCTTCAAACCCAGCCCTGGTCTCACCTTGACCATCAGCCCTCTGTAGCTGGGAAGCAAAAAATTAAAAATAACAGTTAAATAAATACCAGGAAACAAGTCAAGATGACCTAATGGATGAAGATTCTACTCAGTGAGTTCTAGGTTTGCTCATGCCATTTGGTCAATCTTTATCTATTCAGTTAAATGATTCAGCCTAACAAGTCTTTATTGAGCTTACATAATACCCAAGACTGAAGGGTTTGCAGTACTAAAAAAAAAAAAAAAAAAAAAGGTAGGTTCCAGCTACAGACTGCCAGTACACTGAGTCTTTTGACACGAGGGAACTGAAAAATGGCTCGGCTGACTGAAAGTGAGGTATAATTTCATGGGTCAGATCATTCTGCATGCTGAAGGTTGCCAAGATCCTGTAACAGGGGGCCCCTAGCTTTCAGGAAGTTGATATATATCTACTCTTTTCACAACTGTGGGCTTTTTTTTTTCTCCAAGAGGGACATGCGTCTAACTCTGCCTTCTACACTATATACCAAGCAAGTGTTAAATGTTGGCTTTCAAAGAATGCAACTAAATGCCTCAGCTTGATGTGGCAAGGGTTGTGCATGGAACATTGGTCTTTTCAGACATTCCCATTCACAACACGAGTCATGTTAAGTACTTTTAAAGCAAGAAGGAGCTGCACACATACTCCCTCCCTGCCAGGGACTCGTGTATAGAGGTTGTCACTTCTCAGGCTCAGTGCTGCAACCTACAACCTACAACGTGAAAAGAACACTTCTGCTCTCTGGTGCCCCTTTCCCAGGGGGTTGGGATTTACAAGGTTATGTAACATAACTTGGGCCTCAAGTCAGGCTGTCAGCAGCTCGGGGCGTTTAGGGTAGAGAAAACATGAGTGAACTTGACATGCCTCGGAGGTCTCTGTTGAAATCATGGAGTCTTCGAATCTCGCCTTCGAGTTTGTTTCTCATCGCCTTGTCCAGCGACTCTCGCTTGGTGGTAGACTTGACCAGGCTCTCATAGGCTTCCGAGATTCTCTGAAGTTCTTTTTCAAACTGAAAGAAAGAAGCAGCATGAAAGTGAGACTTCTGACATTCCCACCCATGCCTTAGCTATGCTGATTCTTGGATGCCCAGCTGTGAAGGCTATAACTTCAATGCAGCCTTTCTGTGTCTTAAGTTTGTCTACCAAATCCTGCAACCAACTTCACCACCCCCCCCATCTGTCTCCCAGCGCCATGTTAGGATCCTGTGAATTACAGACTCACAAGTCTGGTGGGACCATCTGATGTCACCTGGTAATAGTCTCTTGGTACAAATATCAGGAAGGGGTGAATTTAAACATAACTTAGGACTTCCCTGGTGGCGCAGTGGTTAAGAATCTCTACCTGCCAATGCAGGGGACAAGGGTTTGAGCTCTGGTCCGGGAAGATCCCAATTGGTGCAGAGCAACTAAGCCCACGAGCCACAACTACTGAGCCATGTGCCACAGCTACTGAAGCCCGCACGCCTAGAGCCTGTGCTCCGCAACAAGAGGAGCCACCACAATGAGAAGCCCGCGTGCTGCAACGAAGAGTAGTCCCCGCTTGATGCAACTAGAGGAAGCCCGCGTGCAGCAACAAAGACCCAACACAGCCAAAAAATAAAATAAAATATAATGTTTAAAAAAAATAATAAACATAAAATAGACATAAACCGCTTATATTAAGTATGGCAATTTACAACTATTATTATTTTTCCTAGTTAATGTGAGGAAAATATTAAAGTACAGGAAAACTAAAGGATCACAAGTAGAACCCTAATTTCCTGACTCCAAGTACAGTGCTCTCCTGAGACCCTCCTACCCATCCCCAAAGGAACATAAAATCCACACGAAGAGAGGTTCCATCGCTTGGCCTTGTTATCCCTTTGTCTATGAAATTATCTATATAAAGAACTAATGGATTTGTATCTAACTGTAAACCATAGAAAACCACTTTATATGTGGGAGTTGGAAGACATGGGATAAAATCCAATTTTTTTTTTTTTTTTTTTTTTTTTTTTTTTCCAAAAACAAAAGCG